CTTGAACATTAACTTACCAGACACTGCATAACTGCACAAATTAATAAGCGTAACGCAAATAAACCTATTTTTCTTGTTCTCCGAAAGCAAAATACTTCCTGTTGCGCACACCAAAAAAGTCAGTACAAGACTAATGACATGGCAATCTGCTGCTAAAATATTCGCTGCTAGTATTAGTGGAGAAAAATGGTGCACCTGTGCATAAGGCACATAAGGGAAATGAATGCAATACGATTATAGTAATCAGTCATTAGCGAACGTTGTTAATTAATAATAGTTCGTTGTTAATTATGTATAACAGGATATCATAAAAATTAAGTTAGGAAATTTTTATTAAAATGTTTCTTACATACCATTATATTGGCTGGGCCGCAAAAATATTTGTTGTGGGCTGCATATGGCCCGTGGGCCACAAGTTTGACATGTTTGGAATAGAGGATCAACCTTTTTATAAGGAGACTAGTGTCCCGGTGCACAAATTCTTGCACATTGAAAGGAAATTAATTAGAAGAAATATTTTAATATCACTGATCACCCTTTCTCTATAATAGAAGTGTCAACCAAACTCATGATTAACAATGACAGATTGAAACACACATGTGCGATTGGCCACAGTGAGAGCTTTATTTGTATCATGCATGTGCGAGTTAACTTAGCCTTTTATATAGAGAGAATAAATTTGCTTAATTAGACCCGCTTTCTGATTTAGTTAAACTTTTTCCAGCCCAATGAAGCACCCCAACTTCTCTTTCAGGCAGTTGTCAACAACACAACAGTAAATATCAACACGAAGCAGATCATTATTGTAGGTCACAAAGGGAGAACAAAGGGTAAAATATTTAATTGCAGCAGTGTTTGACTATATTCTGCCCAGTGAGAAAACCTGAAGTCGTTTTCAAGGTCCACCATTTCTTACTGCTTTTCATTCAGATCAAGTTTCTAAACTTTCTAAATCTCCGTTTTCTGGCTAATGAAAAGAAAATAGGGTTCCACCGAATCTCCTATCTACCTACTCCAGGACTTCTGTGAGGATCAAATGAGATGAGGCACAGGAAAACGCTTCACAAACATTTGGTTAAAGTGTAAAATGTTTCCACCTGGCTATAAAGCAAGTCGTGTTCCTGGGCTGAAGAAACTCCAAGGAGGCTAGTCGCTAGGGAGAGGAAACCAGGCGTTGCTACCTGACATCATTACCCGGTGCCCACAGTGACTGTTTCTGGGCTGGGCTGGGCTGTGGGCGCATTTAGTGCCATGGGGTCTTGGCAGCGTTGGCTGTGACTTGGTGGGCTGTCGCTCTGAGGTGGTGGTGGGGCCTGTGTCCCACTTGGGGGAAGCTGAGTGTTGCTTTGTGGGCGCCAGGTCCGCAGTGCTGTTTCTTTGTAAATGGCCAGAACTTGTTACGGCAGCTCCTGCATTGAGCGTCTGCCCTCTGGTGGTCAATGCATGTCATAGCGACCAGTCAGATGGACACTTAGCATATTAGCCTTTTAGATAGATGATAGATAGATAGATAGATAGATAGATAGATAGATAGATAGATTAGTGTGGGTGTGAACCACAGAACTAATCAGCCATCTCGGCAGGATATGGCCGGTTTGAACTGAAGGGGATAGGGACAGAACAGCGTAAAGGAAGGCTGTCAGTAGGATACCATAGAGCAGCGGTTCTCAACCTGTGGGTTGTGACCCCTGAAAATACATCCTGCATATCAGATATTTACATTACGATTCATAACAGTAGCAAAATTAGTTATGAAGTAGCAACGAAAATAATTTTATGGTTGGGGGTCACCGCAACATGAGGAACTGTATTAAAGGATCATGGCATTAGGAAAGTTGAGAACCACTGCCATAGAGCTTTTTCATGTGAATGTGTGCTGTTCTTCATAACAAGATTTTTTTTAAAAAAGGCCTGGAGGTAACTAAGAGCTTATCAGGGCCACCACCACCGAGGTTTTAGGGCAGACAGCCTCCAACAGAGGCAATGGAGGTAAACCACCTAGAGCTATGAGCTGTGGTGTGGGCAGGGCCCCAACAGAGAGCCGGGCATGAGCAGCACTCTGCCAAGCTGTAGGAGTGATGTTGCCATGCCAGTGGGTCCAGAAGCCAGAACATGAAGCCAGAGAGGAGTATTCTTGAGCCTAAGATCTCAGTGAATTTTATAGGTTTCGAGCTTGCTTGGGACCTGTCACCTCATCCTTCTTTCCTGTTTCTTCCTTTTGGAATGGGAATGTATGTCCTAGGCCCTTCTCACCATTGTGTTTTGGAAGTGCATAACTCGTTTGGTTTCAGAGGTTCACAGCTGGAGAGGAACTTTACCTCAGGAGGAATGATACCTTGAGTCTCAGCCATATCTGATTTAGATGATATTGAGAGGAGACTTTGGACTTTAGAGTCGATGGTGGCATGAGTCAAGACTTTTGGGGTTGTTGAGATGAAAAGAATGTATGTTGCATGAGAGAAGGACATGAATTTGGGGGAATAGAGGTAGACTGCTGTGGTCTGAATATTTTTGTCCCCGCCCCCAAATGCATATATTGAAATTACAATGCCCAATATGATGGTGCTAGAAAGTGGAGATAGGAGGGGCCTTTGGAAGGTGACTAGGTCATAAAGGCAGATCCTTCACGAGTGGAATAGTGCCCTATAAGACAAACCCAGAGAGTTCCCTAGCCCCTTCTTGATGCAACAAGAAGTCTACAACTCAAAAGAAAGCTCTCACCTGACCATACTGGCACCCTGATCTCAACCTTCCAGCCTCTAGAACTATGAGAAATACATTTCTGTTATTTATAAGCCACTCAGTCTGTGGTAGTTTATTATAGCAGCCAAACGGACTTAGATCTTGTATTGGTGTTCTATCGCTGAGTAAAAAATTACCCCAACATTAGCACTTAAAACAACAAACATGTATCATATACTTTATGTAGGTCAGAAATGCATGAGTGGCTCAGCTGGGTGCTTCTGAGGTCTCTCAAAGGCTACAGTGAAGGTGCTGGTCAGGCTGTGGTCTCACATGAAGGCTTGACTGAGGAAGGATCAGTTTTCAAGTTCACTCGCATGGTTATTGACAAGATTCAGTCCCTTACAGAATGTTGGACTGAGAGCCTCAGTTTCTTGCTGGCTGTTGGCTGAAAGTCTCCCTTGGTTCTTTCCATGTGTGCTTCTCCATAGGGCGGCTCACAACGCCTAACTGGCTTCCATCAGATTGAGCAAGCAAAAGAGCAAGAGAGGGCACACAAGAGAGAAGCAACAGTATCTTTGCAGCCTAATCTCAGAAGCAGAATCCCATTACTGTTGCCATATTCCTTTCATTAGAAGTGAGTCACTAGGTTGAGCCCACCCTCAAAGGGAGAGGATTATGGAAGGGCATGGATGCTAGGAGATGGAGATCATTAGAGGCCATCCTAGCAATTGTCTACCACAAACGTCAAAGCCATAACTTCGATTTTTTGCCTTAAGGCTATGTTGAAACCAGCCTTCAAATTCTCAAATTGGGGGCTCCATTTTCCCTCTCAATTCAGTTCTTTTGTCCAAATATTTTTCGAGCTGATTTCTTTCTTGTAGCAACTTATCAAATGAAGCGAGCAACAACCAACTCATATTGTAAACATTCTGCCTCAAAATCTCTGTGTCCAATGACCCAGGTCTGTTAGGTACATTTTCTGTCTTTCACAGTCCCAGGAGACAGTTTTACTAAATGCATCACCTCTACATAACTGCGCCACTATTTGTCTAGCTTCCTGTAACAGTTTCTACACCACCTGTTGTTAGCCAGCCAATGTTTGTCACAGAGTTTAGGTTTTTATTAGTACAGTATCATACTTCTAGGTATCAATTTCTATATTATTCATATGCTACTGCATTAAATCCTCTACTTCCTTATATATCTTCTGTCTGTTCTATCATCATGAGTGAGTATGGAAGGCTCCAACCATTGTAGAACTGTCTACTTCTCTCTTCACTTCTGTCCATTTTGCTTCATATATTTTAATGGTCTGGCAGTTGATATGTAAATGTTTATAATTGTTATATCTTCTTGCCGTATTAAACCTTTTATTAATATTTAGTGTCCTTTGTCTCATAATATTTTTAAATTTAAAGTCCATTTTGTCTGATACTAGTATCACCATTCCTGCTCTCTTTTGGTTCCTATTTGCATGAAATATCTTTTCCATTCTCTCACTTTCAACTTGTTTGTATTTTGGTTCTTTTGAGTCTTTTATAGACAGCATATAATTGGATCATGTGTTTTTATCCATTCTTCAAATATCTGTCTTTTGACTGGAAAGTTTAATCCATTTATAATGAAAATACTTACTGATACAAAGGAATTACTTCTCTCACTCTGCTGTTTGTTTTCCATGTGTCTTACAATATTTTGGTCACTCAGATTACATCACTGTCTTCATTTGTGTTTAGCTGATTTTTTTGTAATGAAATGTTTAAATTCCTTTCTCATTTCCTTTTGTGTCTATTCTATAGGTATTTTCTTTGTGCTCACTGTGGGGATTACGTTTAATATCCTAAACTTATAACACTCTAATTGTAACTTAGTCTGGCTTACCATCAATAGTGTACAAAAAGTCTGCTCTACAGCTGCAATCCCACCACTTCGGTTGTCAATGTCAAAAATCACATATTTATATACTGTGTGCCCCAAAACATATACTAATACTTTCTTTAAATGTATTAGTCTCTTAAATTATGTAGAAAACAAAATTCAAGGCGTGGCTCAGTGGTTGAATGGTTGAGTGTCGATCTATGAACCTTTAGGAGATTATGGTTTGATTCCCAGGCAGGGCACATGCCCAGGTTGTAGGTTTCATCCCCAATAGGGGGCGTGCAGGAAGCAGCCTATGAATGGTTCTCTCTCATCATTGATGTTTCTATCTCTCTCCCTCTCCCTTCCTCTCTGAAATCAATAAAAATATACTTAAAAAACAATATTTGGACTTACAAAGCAAAGTTACAGTAGTACTAGCTTTTACATTAATAATAGTGGGGGTTTTTCTTTAAATGTTAGTCACTTACCATGTAGAAAACAAAGTGCTGTTTCAAACTATTGTTGCAATAACACTAGCTTTTATAATTGTATTTACTGTATTAAGATCCTTAATTCTCCATATACCTTCAAGTTACTCTAGTTACCAGATTAAAAGGGTCTGTTTTCCCGAAAGCCCAATAAGACACAAACCTGAGTTTGCAGCAAAGAAAATAAGAGTTTATTTCAGGAAGTGGCCCTTGCCTGGAGACAGGTGAGCTAATGCTCAAAGACCTGGCTCCCTGATGGCTTCCAAGGGATGGGTTATAGAGGAGAGGGAAATCATTAATCATGACGATTAAGGGAGTTAGGACTGTGGTCAGGATTGTGGTCTCTACTGATTAGTCAGTGATAGGGAAAGAGATAGTTGATCAGTGCATCTGGCCCTGTTGTCATCCGTGGCTGTTGGTTTGTCTGGTTTCACCAATTTTATGGGCCTGGAGCTGAAACACAGTTGTGGTCTAGATGTTATCTTTAGTTTGACAGAAACTCTGTCTGGGCGGAAGGGGTGGTTAACAGACCTGAGGCTTTGTTCCCAAGATTATTTGATGCTGGTCAGAACCTCAGTGTCCTCAGGGCTTAATGATTATGGGAGTGCACCTCCAAGGGAGAGGGGGGCAGGTAAGTCAGGGTGCTGGGTGAGACAAGTTTGACTCAAAAGAAAGCAGAAAAAGTCATAGTAAAGAAATGAATTTTCTGCAAGGTTACACTGACTGGTGTCCTTTCATTTCACCTTACAGAACTCCCTTGAAAATTTCTTGCAAGGCAGGTCTAGAGGTCACGAACACCCTCAGCTTTTGTGTTTCTGAGAATGTGTTCATTTCTCCCTAATTTTTTGAAGGACTATTCTGTCCATTTTTTTCGCCCTTTAAGCACTATAAATATATTGGCACACTGTCTCCTGGCCTCCAAAGTTTCTGATGAGAAATTTGCTAATGATCTTATTGAGAATCCCTTGCATGTAATTCCTCTTGCTACTTCCAAGATTCTCTTTTATTGTTCTCTTTGACTTTGAAAGTTTGGTTATAATGTGTCTTGATGTGGGCTTTTTAATTGCAGATATGTTTTTAAAGTCTTTTAAGTTTAAGTATAGTTGGTATACAATATTATATTAGTTTCAGGTGAACAACACAATGATTTGACATTTATATCCCTTACAATGTCACCATGCAAACCCATCACAGTGTTATCTATAATAATAAAAGCATAATATTCTAATTAGACCGGACATCCTTCTGGACGACCTTCCAGATGAAGTCGCAGCAGCAGGGGCCAAGCCCCTTGCACGAATTTCGTGCATTGGGCCTCTAGTTGATTATATTCCCCTTGACCTTTTTACCTATCCTTCCAGCCCCCTTCCATCTGACAATTTTCCATTTGAGCTCTGTTTCTATGAATCTGTTTTGTTTTATTTGTAAAAGGTTTGGAGTGCGCCGGGTCACGCACCTATGACATGAGGCTGTAATGTATCAAAAGGCTTTTATTTCAGGCGTCTCGGTGCAGATGGGCTGAGTCAGACAAAAAAGGAGTCAGTGGAGAATGAAGGGAGAGGCAGATTTTTATTACTCCTTGCTGGCTGCAAGCCATTCTGCTGATGTAAGGGTCTGGTCCGTCCTTAGTTCCTCCTATGCCAGGTGTCTTCTGGTTATCTGGGCTATGCCGTGCCCAAGGCTGCAAGCTTTCTGCAAGATATCTGCTAAGCACAATAAGTTTTCTCTGCCTTGTTTTATTCTCTTTAACCCTTTCAGTTTGTTATTTGTTTTATTTTTTTAATTTCTTTATTGGTTAAGGTATTACAAATGTGTCCTCAACCCCCATGTTATTTGTTTTATTTGTTTTTTTAGATCCCATATATGTTAAACCTTATGATTAACTGTCTGATTAACATCATTAAAATGATCATACTACCCAAACTAATCTACAGACTCAGTGTGATCCTTATTAAAATACCAATGGCATTCTTCTCAGAACTAGCACCAATAATCCTAAAATTTATAGGGAATTGGTGTGGAGTTTTTTATTTCATCTTACTTGGAGCTCATTAAGTTTCTTGGATGTTTACATTAATGTCTTCCATCAAATTTGGGAAGTTTTCAGCCATTATTTCTTAAATCATTGACATTTCTGGGTTGCTGGCTCCTCCAGTTCTCAGGCTGAGTGTATGAGGCAAAAAACAAAACACAGGAAACTACTCAAGGTCATGTTGCTCCTCTGCTCCTCAGATCACTCGCCAGTTTGCCTTCTTTTTTACACCTTTTAGAGCCTCTTATATTTATTTTGTATGTAATACCCAGTGTTTTTAGTTGTGCTTAGATAGAGGAATAGGAAAAGTACTTCATCTTCTTACAAATGGAAGCCTTAGGATGTTTTATGTCTGCATATATACTGTCCTTAGTGTGTTGATTAAATGTTGAGTTTTTAAATTCATGTTTATTCTTTTTTAATGTTTTTATTGATTTTAGAAAGAGAGAAACGTTGAGGTGAGAAATATAGCTCAGCTAGCTGCCTCCTGCATGTTCCCCACTGGGGATTGAGCCCAAAACTTGGGAATGTTGATTTTAAATATTATTCTTTTACCTAGATAAAAGCCAAGAAAAAACATCTGAGAACAAAGAAGGAAAGAAATTCTACCCTAGCAAGACATAAAAATGCCAGAGAAGAACGAGAGGTAAATAAGTATCCATTGATCTGGTTGTTAGCAGCTTCTGAAAAAAATGTTTGCAAGAGAATGGCAAGTTATTTCCTCTTACACTTCCCATTCCCTGATTATTTCTCAGGAAAAGTTAATGATTAAATATTTTCTCATCTTATTCACTGTTTATAAAAGCACAAAAGAACCTTGACAGATGAGAGGTGGGTCTTATTAGGTGTGATATTTACATTTCACTTATATTTACCTTACTCAGAAAAGTATTTGAGTCATCTGACAAAGATACATCCAGGATAGCAAAAAATAAATTAAAATTAAGAAAAATTAAATGGGAATACAAAAGTATAGATTGTGTGGGGAGGTTAGCTTCCACCGTGGCAGAAGGGGAGCTCTGCAGACCCATTCACTAGCAAAAGTAGGTGAGAACTATTAAAAACAAGACAAAAAGCAACCATTTAAACAATGAGGTTCAAAGATTTCTTCCACAAAGAAGTCAAAAAGCAGGAGGCCAGTGTTGCCCCCGAGAGAAAGTAAGTGAAAGCTAAAGAGTGTGGCATTCCCTAGTTCTCGGGGTGTAGCCCCTGAGTTCTGTTGTACTTTTCAGTTACACTGATGAGGTCATCTTTATTCCCAACTCTGAAATCTTTTATTCTTTTATAGTTTTTATACTTTCCCATGTTTGGAAGACTACATGCCATACTTACCATTGATCATCTCTAGAGTATGGAAACACGTTCACTTTTCACTGCTTGCACCTCTGTTGTTTGAATTACACAATATGTTATTGTAATTTTCTTATAATTTGTGAGAAGATACTCCAAAAAAGAATATTCTTTCTAATGGATTCAGCAACTTATCAATGAAAAAGTTGAGCCTTTTGGTCAAGATTAAGGGAGGACTGGGGAGTGAGTATTTCCTGGGGAGTGTTTCAGTTTGGGAAGATGAAAGAGTTCTGGAGATGGGTGGTGGTATTGGTTGCACAGCAGTATAAACGTACTTAAGGACATTGAACTCTACACTTAAAAATGATTAAGATGGTAAATTATATGTGTGGTGTATTTTATCACGCACACACAAAAGATTAAGGGATGATTTAAACAGTGAATTTACACTGGCTGCTATGAGGTTGAGCTAAAGGCTAAAATCAAGCACACACATATAGGGAAAACACGCTCAATAATGGGGCATTTTAAACAAACTGAGCATTTTATAATAAGTCTTTATTTGTTATAAACACCCTGCCTCTCTGTCATCCCAACATTCCTTTCCCCATCACAACGAACATTCACACACTGGTATGCTATGTTACTGTTGGCAGAAACGATTCAATATGGATTTCTAAAATTAAAATAACAACAACAAAAATAACGTCTCTAGAAATGGCCCTAAGAACATACAGCAAATGAAAAAAACATATATTTATGAAAATCTACAACTTGATTAAAAACAAACAGTGAAAGTCTGTTGTGTTTGAATCAACACTCCCTGCTCCCCTCACCCTCCTCCCTCCTTCCTTCCCCTCCCCCCTCCCCCCTCAATGAGACTGAGACTGTAGACAAATTCAGCCCAGACACAGGGCCTCCTCTCCCCACAGATAAAAGTCAGAGAGCTGTCTCCGCAGGAAAGTTATTCTTTCTCCAATGCTGAAGCTACATTCCAGGTAAGTGCAGCCCATTTAGAAATGGGGGTTTCTCCTTCTACCCAGGCCCCATTCATTAAAAAGAGGCTCTATCTTGGGTGCCACATCACTGAGAATATTTTTGGCCCTAATCGCCCTTGCTTTGGCTCGTCAAGTGGTGGTTCCACACTGGAAAGGTGAATTTAGAGAAGACCAGAAACTACTGCCCTCTTCCCACCTACAGCTCAGCTCCTAAAGTGGGGTACCACTGAGAGAAGGTCATGGTCTCCACCACCAGCTCCAGAGACACTCGGGTCAGAATCTTTGACTTGGGGGAGAACCAGATGAAACAGGTCCTAATCTCTCCCCCAAACAAGTGACTTAATTTGCAACAGGTCCTGGAGAAATTCAAGTTTCATGGCATTCTCAAAATCAATACAAGTATGGTAAAAGGCATTGGGAGGGGATTGGTAGGTTCATTGGAAATATAGGCTAAGCGAAACTAAGGCAGCTGATTTTCCAGAGAGAAATGGGCAAAGAGGCAGCTGGGAGGAGCCCACCTGAGATCAGAACAAATCTCAGACGCTGACCTCAGGAACTGTGCCTTCAAAGGAACACAGGTTTGATTGGATTGGCCTGTACAATAATATACGCCCTAGTGTATACTCTAGGGCAGTGGTGGGCAAACCGCGGCTCGCGAGCCACATGTGGCTCTTTGGCCCCTTGAGTGTGTCTCTTCCACAAAATACCATGTGCGGGTACGCACGTACAGTGCGATTGAAACTTCGTGGCCCATGCGCAGAAGTTGGTATTTTGTGGAAGAGCCACACTCAAGGGGCCAAAGAGCCACATGTGGCTCTCGAGCCGCAGTTTGCCGACCACTACCCTAGGGCATTGTTGAAAACTGTAAAGCTAATGGCCAGAAATGAGTGGAACTTAATTGCTGGCTGTGATCAGGGAAAGAGACCAAGACCCCCTGTCAAAACCACTGTCATCCCAGGGTGAATGTGGGCATACCCAAGTCCGCACCCCTAAGGAGCAAAATTAGGAGCTTAGCACTGCAGGTGGCTAAGGGGCTTCACTAAAATAATGCAGCCTGTCACCAAAGAAACAAGCTCTCTAATTGGTCTTGATGTATTAAGTCATTTATAGAACCCAAACCAAGGTAGATGTGTTTGGGAGCTTGTTTTTTATTTTTATTTATTTATTTTTGTATGTAGATATTGTGAGACACATTTATTTAGTTCTCATAAACATATCCACATGGTGGTTTTCCTCAGAAATATCTATGGGGCTTTTTCACCTTTCTTGATTGGAGCTTTTAAAATTGTTATGAAATCATAATCTACATTTAATGTTGGATTTTCCATATGGAAAGCAATCTCGTCATTTGGTCATTTCAGAATGTTGCATATATTCTAAATGTGTCCAAAAACGAATGGGAGTTCATTGATCCTGAAATTTATTTTCTAGTAATCTTTGGCAAAAGGCTGAAAAATGTCATCTTAACTAAAGTGAACATCTGAGGACGGCTCAAATTTATGCTCTTGATTATTTTAATGTTTTGCTTATAAGACATCAATACATCCCAAAATAATAGTAGTAAATTATTTTTAAAATACTTTAACTTCATCTTGTACTAGGACACATTTAATAATGAATTTTGAAGACTTTCAGCACAAACAATTACAGATTCCTATGGTTAAAATTTGTAGATCACATTCATAAGGATATTGGCCTGGTGGTTTTCTATGGGATAAATGTAATAGTTTGTTATGGTTCACAGCATCATTTTAATCCAGGGAAGAGGGCTAAAAATGCAGACATTTAAGAGATCATCAAATCAAGTCCTATCAGTGATTTTCTTCAACCTAATTTTAACCCTATTTCTCCAAATTCTAGTGATTATATAATACTAGAGGCCCGGTGCACAAAAATTTGTGCACTGGGGGGGGGAGGGAGGGGGGTCCCTCAGCCCAGCCTGTGCCCTCTTGCAGTCTGGGACCCCTCAGGAGATAACGACCTGCTGGCTTAGGCCTGCTCCTGGGTGGCAGAGGGCAGGCCCAATCCCTAGGTGCAGCCCCTGGTCGGGCTCAGAGCAGGGCTGATTGGGGAGTTGGGGCGCCGCCCCCTGTCATGCACAGAGCAGGGCGGATCAGGAGGTTGCGATGCCACCCTCAGTCACGCTCAGGGTGGGGCCGATTGGGGGGTTGGGGCACCGCCCCCTGTCACACTCAAGGCAGGGTCAATGGGGAGGTTGCGGTGCCACTCCCTGTCACGCACAGAGCAGGGCCAAATCAGGGGTGGGCGCTGCCCCTGTCACGC